ATTGCTGTCTCCAACTGCCTAAAAAGAGGCTGGAGGAGGTGCTTGGTCTCTCCTCCCAAGTAACAAATGATAGGACAAGAGGAAATGGCCTCAAACTGTGCCAGGGGAGGTTTAGACTGGAGATTGGGAATAATCTGTTCCCCAAAAGGGTGGTCAGCCATTGGAACAGGCTGCCCAGGACAGTGGTGGAGTCACTGTCCCTGGAAGTGTTCAAAAACAACCTTGTACAAGGCCATCACTGACATGGGTTTGTGGTGGCCTTGGCAGTGCTGGGGTAAAGGCTGGACTTCATGTTCTTAAAGGTCTTTTCCAACTTGATTGACTCTGATTTCTAAGGGAGCTGAGCCACTAGCTGCTCCTAGAGCCTGAATTTCCCCTCCCGCATTAGTGGATGTGTGTCCATACACCCACCAAACCACCCAGCTGCAATGCTGTGAAAAGGTGGGAGATCAGGAGCGCTGCCTGGTCCCTGGGAGGACCACCAGCATGGGAACACCATGAAGAGACTGCATTCTTATGGCCAGGCCAGCACCAACCTCACCCATTCCTGAAACACCAGGGTAGCCCCACAGGGCAAAGACAAGCCCACAGCTGTACAGCACAGTGGGATTTATTTATACAGCACTCTAGGAAAACAATACACACAGTTTCCATGGGGCCAGAGCAGTTTGTTCTGCTCTCAGGTGCCGAATTTCTTCTGTTGGGTAGGCAGTGGCAGCTGGGTCTTGATGTCCATGATGGGCCGCTCCACCACCACAAGGCACTTCTCATCCAGGAGATCTGCGAAGAGCAGGGGCTGTGGGGCACAGAAGGGTCAGATGAGGGCCAGGTTCCCTTTGCCTTGGCTTGCTGGGCTCAGTCACACAGAGGCAGCATTGCTTGGGGCTCTTTGCTCCTGAGATCGCAGCAAGCAGCTGTGCCAAGACAGGGATCGAGAGCTGCTCTGCTGCTCAGTGCTGGCATGGCACTGGGAGTGATTGGGCACGAGTACAGGGGGACCACAGGCACAGGGCACTCCCCTCCCCAACACAGCATGCACCCAGCAACACCGTCACCCACCTGGAACTTCTTGCAGATCTTGAAGGCATGGAGCTGCTGCTGCCTGGCACTCTCTGGGAGCTGCTTCAGGATGCACTGGTTCATCAGGAGGGCACTGTTGTCTGGCAGGGGCTGTGAGGAGTGCACAGCATGTGTCAGCACTGCCTGGATCACCAGTGCACTGCTCCCAGCACGGATGTGGATCAACAGCCAATGTACATCTGTGACCTGGGAACAAACCCAGCCCTCCCCACCTGGGAACACAGGCTCACCAGGGACTTGTCGATGATGCAAAACATGTATGTATCGTGGAGCAGGATGTGTGAGGGGTTCTTGGGGTTGAAGGTGATGTGGGTGATGGGCGAGTCCCTCTCCAGCCAGACCTTGTGCAGCCCACTGCTCTGCACTGTGCGGCTCCAGTCCGTGTACTGCTTCTCAGGAATGCTGAACTCAAACAACTAGAGAGGCAGGAGAGGGGAGACAGGGTGGCTCGTGAGGCCTGGTCCTCTCTGGCTTCCCCCCCAGTGCTGGTGCATAGCAGCCCCAGCTCTCGCCAGGCTGTGAGCACTCCATGCCGCCAGGA